CCCCAAAACCCCAAAACCCCAAAACCCCAAAACCCCAAAACCCCATATTGTAGTTTGAGTGTTGGAATGAATTTTTAGCAAATTGTTCAACAGAGATGAAGAATAACTCTAGATTTTGAGAATTATTTAATTCAACCACTTCATCCTTTTTCCTGAATTCCATTGACCTTGTCTCTCTGAACCATCAGCAGCTGTATAAGTTCCTCTACCGTGTTGTTTACCATCTTTCCATTGTCCTGTGTATTTCTTTCCATCTGGCCATGAGTAGGTTCCATTCCCACTACATAAATTAGATCTATTAAAACTAGTATCACTTACTTAAATTGATCATTTGCCCATTCACCAGTGTAAGAGCGTCCATCTTCCCATTTAATATCTCCTTCACCTAATAGATTTATCCCCTAGACTGGCTTACCTTCTCTTTTTCCATTCTTAAACATTCCTCTGTACTCTTTGCCATCATTCCACTTAAAGTATCCCTTGCCTGACTTTTCTCCATTCTGAAAATGACCTTTGAACTTAGACCCGTCGTCATATTTCTCAAATCCCTTTCCATGACACTTGTTATTTTTCCATTCTCCCTTATAGATCAGACCAGCGTTTGAGAAGTAAAGCCCTTTGCCTTCAGACTTGTCATCTTTCCATGACCCTTGATAGACACAACCATCTTCAGTAATTAGCCTTCCGTAGCCGTTCTTGCAGTCATCGATCCAGAACCCTTCATAGATGTGCCCTTCCTTGGAGATCATGAAGCCTCTTCCTTCACGAATATTCGTGCCTAAACCAAATTAGATTACAAGTGTTGGGAAATATAGCATTTTTCGTTCTGGACCAGAAAAGTAAGGATTTCAAACCTAAAATTTCTACCTTTTCTAAACTCCCCCACATAAATGTCTCCATTTGGGTTTTGGATTCCTTCGTTTCTGAATTCAACTTCGTCCTGGTCAATCTGGCTTGGAATGTCATGAGCTTTCAATTTGGCAGGGCCAAATTGTTTATGAATTTCCCGAAGTTTCTTTGAACTTCTTGACAAAGCTTCCTGTAAGATCTCCTTTTTGAACATCAGTACGGCACCCTTCTTCCTTTCGAAAGTGACGTCTTTCTCATAGACATCCCAGTCAGTGTCTTCTTCATTGTCAGAGTCTTCAGACTCCATTTCGGAATATAGGTCTCCTGGGATAGTTTGGGTTTCTATCTCTTCATCCTTGAACATAAGATCCTCTTCGGTGATGATTTCTTCCCCTTTCTTTCTAGTAGGAAGTCTCCTTAAGGTATTAGGTAGCTCCTTCTCTTTCGTTTCTGTACAACATTGGTTCCCCATTTTCTTTAAAATATTTTATCTTCAATAGGAATACACAAGCTGGGGTTTTGGGGTTTTGGGGTTTTGGGGTTTTGGGG